GGGGGGGGGGGGGACAACACCTCAGGAAGTTAACCGCAGCAGGAGCTTACCGTCGTAGACCCGGAGAGTAGCTCCGCCTCCGGCAGCGGCAGCAGCAAGCGGCCCGCCGCGTCACTCTGGAACGCCCAATGACCCGGCGGCTCTCAACCAATCAGCTGCGACGAAGGAAGAGGGCTTGTTTTTGAAAATATTGGCGCTTGTCGTGCTAGCTGTGGCCGTCTGAGCTTCGATAGGGAGTTTTATATTGGTTTTTTTTTTTTACACGAACTACATGTGTGTCTCACCGGGAAAAGTCACGGTGGTGATGGCTTGAGAGATTGCTGTTCGTCTCGTAGAAGGTAAGACACGGTCGCACACGGTGGACAGTGGACTTAAAGAGGACAACGCTAACGTACCGCTGGACGTTGTGCGAGAGCTAGCCAGAGAGCTAACATTGGCAAGTTTACACCTTTAAAAATGTCATATTGTAATGTGTGCTTGAGTCCAGTATTTAGGCCCACATGTTAAATATCAATTTGGTAAACAGTAAATAAACTATCAGGTATTTTTATTTGGTAACTTTTGTTTTAGGAGTTTACTAGGCTTTAACTGTTTGAATGTATTACGCTGTTTTAAGCTTCATTGTTGCAACGCACCGGTTGATTTACTTTGATTTTAATTCATGAGAAACTGCCACCTAGATGTTAACAATTGTGCATTAGTTTCCTTTTACTGTGTATAATATCAATTTAGTGACTTGTTGATAACTTAAGCCAGTCAAGCCTATTTTATTTATACCCCAAACTTCTTTACATAATCTGTACCAGACAACTGTGTACGTCCCTGTTTAGACTACTACTGTCCATTCTCCCTTTTGTTTCTCAATTTGTGATTGAATGAGCGCATTATTAAAAATGACACTGGTGTTTACAATTTGCAATGTAGTACATGTCATTAACCCTTTGTTTTTGGTTTTTGCAGAAACACATAAGTCACTGCAAAGGGACCATCATGGCAAGTGATGTTTGCAGCCATGTGAAGGTGGTTGTTCGAGTGAGACCAACCAGTGACCGTGAGAAGCGTGAAAACTGTCGAAATGTGGTCCAGGTTGTTGATAACCACATGCTCATATTTGACCCCAAGGAAGAGAGCGCATCATGTTTTGGGTCACAAAGAGTACGAAACCGGAACATCAACAAGAAGGCTAACAAAGACCTCAAGTTTGTTTTTGACCATGTGTTCGGCGAGGACTCTACTCAAGTTGATATCTTTGAGAATACCACTAAAGTAGTGTTGGACGGTGTGATGAATGGATTCAACAGCACAGGTAATAACAGAGGTCGTATGAGGCTGCCCGACATGTGGACAAACCCAAACAAAAGAAATAACTGAACCTCCACAAAGTCACATAACATGATAACTGAACAATCCCTATCCCCTATTGTAGTCGATATCTAAATTAGATTTATTTTTCCTTTAATAATACAGCTGCAATGTGTTAGTACATACTAATATTTGTATTGTATACTTATATTTAATGTAAAGTAACAGCTGAGTGACTCTGCATTAAGATGATGTGAATAACAGCATTTTTTTCTTATTTTATACTCAAGCCAAAAATAGGAAACAAAAAAAAAAAAAGGGGCCACAGCCAGAATTAGATTTTTATATTTAATGTGTCTGATTTCTGTGATCACGAGGTAAGGCTACTGACTTCTTTGTGTGTGCCTAACTTTGCAGCAAATACATTTGGTTGATGGCGCTACGGCGTTAAGCCACACAGGATTTGAACCCACAGTGTTTCTATCTGATTTGGTTACCAGTTCACCACAGGGGCACAACCATTGCACACAAACAACACTAGTCAGTGTTATAGCCCTTAAAAATGAATGTGTCACAGCCATAATCATCCCATGGCTATAGTCATAATCACAGCTACAGTCTGACAACCTTCGGGGGATCCATAATAAAGTGATCTAATCTGTTGTGGCAGTAAATGTTTGGACTTTTGACTGCCTCTCCTCAACCCCAGCATGACTAAATACTAGTTTTGTTCAATTGCAGTTATGAACCACACCAGCAGCACTTTAGAGCTGTGTTTTTAAATGTTTTTTTTCCTCAACATGGCTCGCTGACTCATGCTGCCATATCATTAATTGAAACTGCCGGCTGCTGTTAATTTACTTTGTCTGCTCCAGGGTTCACTTGCTGGTCACAAGCTCGTAACACTGTGCAGTTTCAGTGTTTTAACTCGGCACAATTAGAACATTTTGACACCTAGTGTACTCACTGCGAGCAGGACCGGAAACAGATTTAGCTTTAGAGGGTCATCATTGATCCATTGAAAGATGCTTGAATCAGCTGGAACTCTTGATCCCACTGAAACATTCAACTGCACGGTCAATTTGGAGGATGAAGTCTGCGTTGCTGTATAACTGTATTACATTACACACAGTGGCATTTCTGTTCTTTAGCCTACCCTGATATAAAAGGATTGGATAAAATAATAGAAAACACCTGTCAGTATACCGCAATACAATTCAATAACATCACAAACTGCAGCATCCAAAATGGTCATACAATTGAATCAGTGCTTCTCTAAAACAGTTTCAGTAAAAACTGGACATTATACTCTTCATAAAGAACCAAAAACGTAAGAATTGCATTTAGTTCAACGGTGTGAGTTTAAAGCTTGTAATTCATGTGCTGAGACAGTACTCACTTAAACTAGGCTTTTCACAATCACTGCTTCTCTCAGCCTCATTTTAAAATATGGTTTATTGCTTATACTTCTCCATAGTAAGTTTGATATTGTAGTTGTTGCTATAATCCTTGTTGTTATAAATATACATGTCTTTATAATAATTTTTTCTTTAATTGCCATTCAATTGCAGTGTTTGCATACGGTGCTACTGGAGCAGGCAAGACACATACTATGTTAGGCTCACAAAATGACCCTGGGGTCATGTACCGCACCATGAAGGACCTGTTTCAACGCATGGATGATGCCAAGGAGGAGAAAGAGTTTGCTGTTGCATTCTCATATCTTGAGGTAAACATTTTAATATTTATTTGTTTTCTGTTCTTTATATTAGTGCAGAATATATATATATATATATTTATTTATTTATTTATTTATTTATTTATTATCATATTAGTGAAAGTGATTGTCTGACTTTGATCGAAGGGTTTCAATTGTAATATTCATTTGTAATTAAACCACACTGCTTTTGTCTTAAGGCATTGCAGCAGTTATACATTGCCTTAATGCCCAATATTTTTCCTGTTATGTTTTTCTATTAACACTTTTAAACATTTCTGTATTAACTCTTATCACAATAATACCTTTTTGTATCAAATGATCTTTTGGGATGGTTGTGGTGGATTTGCTGCAGTTTGCAGTTATAGTCTTTGTTTCTTTACAGGTGTATAACGAACAGATCCGAGACTTGTTGGCTAATGTGGGTCCTCTTGCAGTTAGAGAGGACAGTTCTAAAGGAGTGGTTGTTCAGGGCCTCACACTGCATCAGGTTAGTAGCAGCATGTATCAAAAGCCCTCCCTCATAGCATCATCAAGCGTCTTAACACTAGATACTGATATCACTGCAAAGTCAGTTTATTAGTTAATATATATACATTTCCCTCAGTTGATTTGCAAAACATAACATAGAGTTTTTAATTATAATAACATAATTTCCAAGTCCGTTGGGGAAGGAATGATAAATTACCCTCCGAGCACTGATGTTTAGAAATTCACTGCCTGTCTTAATACACTATCAAAAAATAGTGTGAAGGAGAGGGATAGCCTTCGTTGTTAAAATAAAAACAGTCAACCGTAACTACGAGCCAATTTATATGTTATTAAAATGTGATCTGTATCTAGACAGTTTATCCAGACATAGAAAAATGCGTTTTAATGTTAATGAAAGATGTAAATGCGTTGTGATTGGATCTGCCTGGCCACAGGGGCTAAACATAGGCTAAACAATATAACATTGATACAGATATTTGTCATTAGTGAACATAAAATATGGGTTGTTGTTCAAATGTAGAGAGCAAGCATGCGGGAAGGTTGAATGAGACATGCCTCTAATTACTGATTGTGTCTATTCTGTGCCATGAAAATGTTGTTTGAAATGTATTACATGATATGTGCATTGCAATCATCTGTCTGTGATCTTCTTTCTACAAGGCATATCATTGATCTAATGCTGGCACTGGAATACAAACAAACAAACTGATAAAACATTTTTTAAATAAGGAAAGGAATAACCTAATGTATTGTATTTACCATATTTACAAGAGGGGACAAATAATTAAGAAAAGAAATCCGACCTCACTGACAATAACAAGAAAGTATTAGCAACGCCTGGGGTAAATGCAATACATACATAATCTTTTATTATTTGGATAACATATCCAGATATATTGTTATGTTGCTGTGATGAGCAAGTGCACTGTGGTGGTTCCTAATCAGGCCTTTTACTGGGTCACACGTCATGTTTTCTTTTTCCCCTGTACAGCCTAAATCTGCAGAGCACATTCTTGAGGCTTTAGATTCTGGCAACCGCAACAGGACCCAGCACCCCACTGACATGAATGCTACCTCTTCCCGGTCCCATGCTGTATTTCAGGTATTTCATCCAGTCTTATAAAACAATGTAAAAGTCAATCATTAACAAAAGAAGATCCATGAATATGAAAGCTTAGCTGCAAACTGTTCCCACTCCCCAATTTCAAGTTGGTAATTACTAATATCTTCAGTTCTGAAGTATCTGGTTTCACTACAAACATCTCAAAATGCATCACAGTTTGTCTTAAATTGACAATGTTGTATCCCTTTCTCCAGGTATATTTGAGACAGAAGGACAAAATCGCCAGCCTCAATCCTAATGTCTGCGTTGCCAAAATGAGCCTGATTGATCTGGCAGGCTCAGAGAGAGCAAGTGCCACCAACGCCAAAGGGGCTCGTTTACGGGAAGGTGCTAACATCAACCGCTCACTCCTTGCCCTAGGAAATGTTATCAATGCTCTTGCTGACCCAAAGGTGAGTTTATGTTACCCTAAATGTACCGTAACGTACAGTGTATGTTTTAGTACACCATCACCCTTCACCACTGTCAGCCCAACAGTTATATTTGTGCATGCAGAGGGCTGCTGGGGAGTCCCCACTCCTCCCAGGTTGGTTTTGTTCACCAGCCACTAACAAACCGATTCATGAACAACTGTAACTGTTTTGGTTGTGTATTTTTTGAATATGCCACCACCACCACCTAATTTCAGCTGGGAGAATTCCACAAGCTCTCTTAGGTATAAATAAACTCACAACATGTCAAAAAAGGAAATATTCTTATACCTATTTTCCTTGTTAAGAAGAAAAATACAACCATGTACCTTCTGAATTCACGCTCACTAAACAAGAGTCTGTCGCTGAGCCCTCTCACTCGTTAGTAAAATAAAATGACTGGTGATAACTGTGTCAGACGGTTTGTTACACGGAACCATTTGGGAATTCAGCGTTAGTTTAGAAAAGGGCAGGCACTGTCTGTCATGGGTTAACTCCAACCAATCAGATCAACAAACCATATAACCATGTCAAACCTTTACCGAAGCCAGTCAGGGGAAGAGCGAAAACATTTTTTCCATCGAGAAAAGCTTCAGTACCCTTCTTTGCTCGTCTTTTAATGCCGAAACTCTCCAGTTTTGATATAACTGATCTCGGCAGCATCTGTACTAACCTCTTTAGCAGCATTGAGCAAGTAGTCACTTCTCACACACATTGGGCCTTGTGCAAGATGCCCTTATGTAGCGTTTAGGTAGTGTTACCCATGCTAATAACAAACAATCAGCCACAACCTGGCAAAATCAATTATCGCATGATTTCTTGATCTCAGGAGTCCAGCATACATAGCTCTTTACTCTCTGAACAGCTGGAAATGTTGAAACCATGTTTACAGAGAATCTGACAAAGAATGTTTATAATAGTATGCTGTCATTTTCATTATCATTATCACAACACAGTATTTCATGTAGATGTGTCCAGAGGTATGCATTGTATCAGTGAGTGTGTCATTTTAGACACAGCAAACAAATGCAGGGAATGTGCAGGCAGTTTTACACACATCACAAACTGCCCACAAATGAAATGTTTTGTATTTGTGTTTCACGTCTGTATTTGGTCAGCAGATCATCAGTGCATGTGGAAATTTTTCATCACGTTCTGTTGTTATGGTTATCGGTCTGTGAAGTTAACCACTAGCCTCCATGTGAAACGGAGAGCCTGGGAAGTGGAGAGTCAACTGAGTATTTGGGTATTATTTCATTCCAGTTGCATACATTAACCTGTCAAGCAGTCTTCTCATTTTACACAGCAGTCTCAAGGGACGAGGCGCAAGCAGCCCACATGCATTTAGGAAGTGCTGTGCAAATGTACCGCAGCCATGTTGAAATGTGATCCGTCTTCACAGGTTACTTCATTCTTGGGTTAAAACTGGGGGGGGGGGGGGGNNGGGGTTGTAATGTATATTGTCCAGTTAGTATTATACCCTGTTCACCATTCTTGAGAGTTGTAGTTGTGAACTCATAGTTTGATGTACTCAACCTACAACGCCCACTTCTAATCCCCACTCCTTCTCCACCCTGTCCCCATGGTTATTGGTACTCCAGTGTTTACTGTTGGCGGACAAGGAATTCATGTTGCGGCCATTGTTTACAGGACAGAATGTCCCCACTTGTGTCTGGGCTGACATGCCTTTCGTTTGAGTGAGAAGAATGTCTGTTACTTCTGTTTGGGCTGTTCAGTATGTCATCTTCATGCTATGCTGCACAGAGGTTTTTTTTGTAAGTTGTTTGCCTTGGGCGATGTAGATACATTTTTACGACACATCCTTTATCTCCAGTTTGGCCTTCCGTCCACACAAGGCCAGTGTTTCCCGCCCACAAAAAAGGGGCTTTCTGAAAATGTTGCCCAAAGTGGAAGCATTTGATAGCTCCAGTCTTTATTAATGTGCGGTGTGGACAGAAGAAGCTGAGCTTTTTGGAAATGCTCATGTGTGCTCGTAAACATTTTCAGACATCCTCAGCTTCTGTGCAGCAACGTTAAGAACTAAACTTTCTGTCACTCCCTCCAATCTCTGATTGCTCAGTTTGTATTTAAATCATAAGCCATATAAGGCATATTAATTACTGTTAACTAGGCCTGCACGATATGAGGACAATGTGTGATAACCCTGTTCAGTGTTGCGATGAGAATATGACTTGCAATAAATAAACAAATATTGAAGCGAGTATATTGGCTATACAGTTTCTATATTAGTCTGGTTGTCTTTAAATTGAGAACTGAATATATGCAACTAAATGTTGTTTCTAGAGCAGCAACAGCAAAGCCACTATATAAACTCAATAATATCTCACTGGAAACGTCTAAAATGTCAAGAAAACAAATCATTCCTGACATCACAATAATGAGTGAAGTTTATGAAGATTGGAGAACACAGACATCAGTCAGTATCAGTCATTCATCCTGTCCTCTGTCCTCTGATGACTCCCGGCCTGTAGGTACAGCTGGTAGAGAAAGGAGGGGCTGATTTGTCTCAGCAGCCGCTTAGTTTATAACAGGATTTTGCCAGATTTTAAGATATTTGGCAAACTAAACTAAAGACAGCTTTTGTTTAAGTAGATGGGGAGACTGCAGCAACATAATAAACAACGGTCTTAAGCTCTGGGGCCTGTTTAATACCTAGTTTCTGTACCTGTCTCTCCACCTTTCTTAAAATTTAAGCCTCGGCAGGGAACACAAAGATGCTGTGGGTGTGCTAACCAAATTTTAGGATGAATGAGATAATTTACTTAAATAAAACTACTAATGCAAGTACAGTGAGGAGACACAACAGCCTTTACCTCTGTTGCTGAAAAACATCCTAGAGGAGACCCTGATGTCTTATTTTCTGTATTATAAATTTACTATTACTATATTGCTCCTATTGCTATAATAAAGCAAAAATATTGCTTATCTGATTAATTGATGGAATAATGAGTAAAATGCTTGAATACTTATTTAACCAATAGCTGTAACCCTACATCGTGGTTTAATTGGTGGAAAAAGGTGGGATAATAATGCATCCCAACCCTACTTACCAGATCATGTTTGCCAACTAAATGATGTTTAATAACCATGTTCAACCAGTGGACGGTAAAAGATCTGCAATTTTGTCATATAGCGTTAATGTTTTTCGTGGCTCCTTCACACTTCCTGTTCCCACCCTTCGCCTGCAAGTTGCAGGGGATCGTTTTACACTGAACGTGTGACAGATTCCACATGATTAACCAAATTATTAATCAATGAAATGAAGTTTATGAAATATGGTTGTTTATTTTTAGACTGACTTGAGGACAAAATACAGTTTGAATGCCTGCTCTTATTAAAAATTCTTATTCCAAATTGGCTCGGCGACCCTGACACTCCCTGGACCTGACATGAACTCTAGCTAAGGTCTTTGAATCCAGATGTAGGCTTAGGGTTTTTCCAGGGAGAAGTGCAGGCACAGCTGTGGACCCCAAAAGAGATCATTTTACACCCCTTTTGTTACTTAACTTTAATGTGACTTTCTGCAATCCAAATGCCCACGAGATTGTGACTCACCTAAGCAGCTGTAGTTTATCTAATACCATTATTACAGACTGAACTGTGTTCACAGACCAGCTGCGGAAAGACTCCAGACCATTGCTGTGGATGGTTGCTCCCCACTTTAACTCAAAATGAACACTATATACTAAATTTTGTTCCCCGTTTATTGGTCCCTACCAAATAGTGTAATCTGACTAAGCTTGTCTTGTGGAGTTTGTCCAGATGGTGAATGCATATTAAGACTCACCTCACATTCTGCTTGTCTGCATACCACAGCAATAACGCACTTTTTCTTTCTATCGTTTTGATTTGTGTCATGTTTGACAGGAGTAGTGGATTCTCAGATTCTATATTGGCTCATTTCAAACTTTCATTTTTTGTATGTTTCAGAGTAAGAAAACCCATATACCCTACAGGGACAGCAAGCTGACACGACTACTCAAAGACTCATTGGGAGGCAACTGCAGGACGGTTATGATTGCCAATGTTAGCCCCTCATCTAATACATATGATGACACCCACAACACTCTTAAATATGCCAACAGGGCCAAGGAGATCAAGTCCTCGGTTAGTATTAAATCATTGTTTTATTATTGTTAATTACAATATTATATGTAATATATATAATTATAACTGCTGTGATTCTTGGACTATACATATATGACTTCATTAAATTTCTCCCTCTTCTCTTTCCAACCAGCTTAAGAGTAATGTTGTAAGCCTGGACAGTCACATTGGCCAGTATGCAGTGATATGTGAGAAACAACGGCTAGAGGTAATATGAAACAACCAACACTACCATGCTTATTTAAAAAAAATTAATACATCTACTTTTTTTTTCTTGCTTAAAATGTCTCAATTAAACAGTCACCGTGATCATTTCTGACGGCTATTTCAATGTTCTGTTGCATTTTTAAAGATTCTACAGCTGAAGGAGAAACTAAAAGCATACGAGGAGAAGAACATGGTGCCTGGGGCTTTTGACGTGATCTCTTCCCAGAAACAAGCAGAGTTCAAAAGGTAAGCATGTACACGAGTATGTGATTCAGAGTGTAACATGACACATATCAGTAGTTGTTTCTTTGTGTGTTATAAATCCTTTTATTGTCAACATTATAACTGGAATACAGACACTGATTGCAGGCAGAAAGAGCACATAGCCTGCATTTGGCGATATATCGTACAGCTGTGACACATTCATGGGACCTTTGGTTTTAAGTGCTTCTGGTGGCTTTAAATATATAATCATTTATAAAGAAGTGGATCAGGCAATGTGAGGTGTAACTAGGCGTGGTGGTCCAGGTTACAGAAACAAGGTTGGTTTCAGGGGCTGTCCCCGTTATAATTTTTTTTTAATTATTATTATTATTATTATTATTACAGTATCTGTGTACAAAGGTTGTAAAACCTAGATAAGCTAATAAATAAACAACACCCACAAAGCTTAAAGACAAAACTTGCTAAATTAGTCCACTGGGAACCAACTACAACTATTAGATCTGGAAAAGCCATTTAATTAGTTTTGATGTTCTCCACATTGGCTTTACATTCATTTGGCTTAGGTGGTGCAGCCCAAAATGGCTTGGCTGCTGTGCCAAAGCCTTATAAGGAAAACCCTGTTAAAATTACATCAGAATCATTATAATTGGGATTATTATGTTTGCCTATAAAGTCTTAACTGACTTAATTTACAGCTTTTGACATTTATCTGTAGAAATTAATATCAAAAGATGAAAAGCCACAACACAGAAGAAAACAGTTAAAGTTTTTATAATTATAGAAACTCAAACTCAGTGACATAGGCTACATCCTGCCTGTGAGCATTTTATTTTTTCTGGGCCTTAAGTAGAAGAGCTCCAGGGCTCTTCTGTAGGGGGATTTGATGATTGGGGGCAATTTGATGCTCAACTGCAGCTGCAGTAGTGTTTCTTTCCAACTGTCAGGATGTGAGGAAGAGGCTAGGTGTTTGGTGGTGCTAACAACAGACAAGATCTTCCTTGGTGTTCAGAAGGTGCAGCGTTATTAACTGACACACTGTCGCCTATACTGTACATTTATGATTTACAAATGATTCTCATTGGGATCAGCAGAACTAGCATCACTTTACGATTATAACAGTTATATAGTTTTATGTAGTTTTTGTAGTGTGACCGATTGGTTGTTTGTCGACCCATTTTATGACATTTGCTACACGTTGAGTGAAAAGTAGCCTTTAGTTAAGACAAATAGAAGCTCCCTTCCCTGCCCACTTTCCCCAGATTTTCCTTCAGGTACCCAAGGCATTCCCAGCCCAAGTGGGAATATAATCCCTTCAGCGTGCTTCAGGTCTCCCTCAGGGTCTCCTCTTAACTGGTGTTCCTGAAATACCCCCATGCAGGAAGTGTCCATGTCGAATCCTAATCAGAAATCCCAACCACCTTATTTGGCTCCTTTCAATGTAAAGGAGCAACAGTTTTTCTCTAATCTCCTTGTAGATGTCTGAACCCCTCACCCTGGCCCTGTGGGGCCGAAGTACCCTGTGAAGAAATCTCATTGTTGTGCGTTTGTATCTGTGATCTCATTCTTTCTGACAGTACTCAGAGCTCACGACAGTCTGGTGCAACACCTGTATAACATACCAATCCACACGTCTCAGTTTTTATTACACCTATGAACAAGAATCCAAGATATTTGACTTCCTTCACTTGCAACAACAACTCGTTCCCAACCCAAAGGAACCAATCTGTTGTTTTCTACCAGACTGTTGTGGATGCGGACTTGGAGGTGATTAATACTTTGCTACAGACCTCCCAGTGCTGGTGAAGGTCACAGTTCGATGAAGCTCGGAGAACTACATCATTGGCAAAAAGCAGTGATGTAGTCCTGAGAATAGGGCTGACCCAAATGTTTCAAAGCTTTGACCGTTGCCATGGTAATCAACTTCCAAATCAGTATTTGAATGCTTCGTATTCTTTCGCCAGTGTCTCCCACATAAGACTTTACTTGGGTGGGCTGCCCGGGTAAAGTAGAAAAAAAATAAAGAGAAAGCAAGGTGAGCAGATAAAAGTAGTTTTAGATTAAATGGTAGTGAAATATTTGCATTGCATCCCTGCCTCATCAACCCCCTGCTTCATACTTTTTTTGTTGTAATATCTTCATATCACACAGTCCTACACCAGACTAGATAGGCTTTACTCCTGAACTCCTAAAAATGATATCTGTCTGTAATCATTTAATGGTGAACTCTGTTTTATATATAATAACTTAATAACGGTGAGATCAGTGATGGTGAAAAACTGTTGAAACTGCTGGAAAGCCTGTCTTCACCCTTTACATAAACAAAATCCCAAAGTTCAAATGTATTTTTCAACCAGGAGCAGCACTTTGGAGGTGTGGTGCACCAGCAAAATGTTCCTAAAATAGAAGAAAAGTGACTTTTTGTTACCCAAAGCGGTTCTACCTGCTTTGATTGGCAACACACAGTGTCAGTGGATATCATTAGTTGAAAATACCAGGTGCTGTTTATTTATTTCTTTGTGCTGACATGCACACACACTCACAACACAATACATTAGTGTTGTTTTATCACAGCTGACCTACCCAGAGCAGACTTGAAACAAAGCATCAGAATTTATGATCCGGTTCTGCTAAATTGCTTATAAAAGCCTTGATTACTTATCAGCTTTCAGCACATCTAGTTTACCTAGTGTTTTTGGACTTTTTAAACAGTTAGTTACTGTTAGTGTCACTCCAATGAAATCCTATCCCATGAAATGCTACCCCATGAAATGGGCACTTGCACCTCCTGGAAAACGGTTATTTCCTGGAAAACACCACATGGTGACCTAATGCTGCACTAGTCGGTATGACAAAAAACTCATCACAGATTTTTCAGCATCCCTGCTTTTCTGCGAAGTTAAACTTCTTTTCTCCCTTTTCATAACTGATATAGTCCATTATTTACACTCATGATGATCAAATACTGCAATATTGTAACAGTACCTACGTAAGAATTTGAGCATCACACAATAATGTTGCACTGTCCTGACCTGTTCTATAGTCAGACAAAACATTATATAGGTCTGAACACTGACGGGTTTGAATCTAGTTATCTAATCAGGGACTATTTTACTTCTTGTATTAAAAACCAAACAAGCTTTGAGCCCGAAGGATTAAGGCTGGAAACGGCTGGTGTTGACAGTTTTGTGTTTGTTGAGAAGAAAATGCAACTTGATCTTAATTTTCTATCGGCCAGAAATACAGAGTAAGTATCTCTGTGTAAAAAGGTATACTAATGTTTAAAATATAAATAAGATGGTTAAGCTGATATTGATTAGTCTTAGTTTTATCAACCATCTTATCTTGTTTTATGCTCCACATTGAGTTTTACTTTTGAGCACCGTCTGTGTGGTGCCTTTATTTTAATTCAAATTATATAAACACATTTCTTTTCTTTTTTTCTTTTACATAAATCACATCCCATCTAGTCATCTTTAAGGCATACAGTGGCATCTGTCGGGGTATTTGGGTTGGGGGCGGGGGACACAGAAAAGCTGAATGAGTCTCACTCCCACACATTTCATTCACTGGCATCAGAATTCACAACTCGCACAGTGAGAGGCTCTGAATAGAGGCTGCACGCTTCTCACACTATTAAAAATTCAGCAGTCTAGCAAGGCCACGACGTCTCCTACGTCACAGGAGTTACATTGAAGAGTGCAGTCACATTTCAGCGACAGCTCTCCAGTCTTATTTACCTGCATGCCTCTCCTGTCTATCCTCCTGCTCTAACTCAGCCAGACAGCCACTTGCATCCAATGTGGATATCACCTCAACACTATCCCAGCAATACATATATACATCATATAGATAAGCATATCTTTCTGGCTCGTTCCAAACAGAATTGGCATCTTGTGGAAGCTCCAGATCATCGTGAAAGGTTAACAACATGATTTAATAGTTTGCGCGAGCATAAAGGTATCATTAATCAATTAATTGTGGTACATAACGATTACTCATTCACATTTCATGTAATTCATATATATTCGATACTTTTACAGTATAATTATTTGTTGTATTACTATAAACGGTAAATGCTGGTTTAAATGTTTAGGTGTGTGTTAAATAAAAAAGGACAAAAGGTTTGTAAAAGCTCTCGGTACAACAATTAATATAAATTTGCTCCGTATATGTGGCACAGCAGCTTGAATCTCTGTGATGATGATGTTTTATTGAATTGCATTATACTAAGAGATGTTTCTAATATTCTGCCTCACTTGTGTCTGTGAATCAGAAAGGACAAAACTAAAAACATCTTTCACTATAATAAAGTCTAAATCAACACCACTACAGCCTCAAAAATGTAGTATAATAAAGGCTTCTGTATACCAGCAAAAACTGAGTAGTAGAGCTTCACATACAGAATTAATTGCAGGGAAATTCATCAATTAAAACATTTTGGGTTTTTTTCAAAGAAAAATTGTTCTCTTGTTTTTAAGTTCAAACTTCCTTGTGCAGGCATTTTAAGGCAAAGTTTGTAACATCACTCTTTTTCTCTCCCTCTAGGGTGTCAGAAGCTCTGCAGCGAATCTTCTCGAGCCGGGCCCAAATCAGGAGAGAACAGCTGGATCTGGAGAGACAACTGAAGGAGAATGAGCTGCGCCAGCGCTACAGCGAGGAGGACAACCTGCAGGTCCAATACTTCTGTGCCAAAGAAAAGACTGAGAAGGTAGCTGATGCTTACGTTGCTATCCACAGATGCCATCATCCCCGCAGAAAAACACCTGCTTAGTCATCATTTTACTTCTCTGTTCTCTATAGTTGTCTTAGCCTCTCATTTACGCCACTACAGGACAGGGTCACCGCTCCCCAGTTCCTGGCTGTTCTCTGCCATTTGAGTCCCTGTGTTAGGCCCAGCTGTAAATGCCATTTAAAGTGTAAAATTCTCAAGAATTAAAGCACTGTCATCCAAAGCAATTGCATTTAAAAAAAAATTTCTTTCAAGATTAATTGTTTCAGATTTACATCTCCAGCTTTAATTGTTATTTAGACCACATACACAGTTATTAGTGTGTAATGCTAATACGAGCACAAAAAAAATGATAATATCACTTAAATTACCTTTTGTTTTTTGTCGTTGCTTTCAATAGGCCACTTGTAAGCACGAGCGGAAGATCGCCAGCTTACGCGCTCAGCAGCAGCACATTTGCAAACGTTTGAAGGAGGCAGAAACACAATTCCTGGATAATGATGGCTGGCTTCATCGGGTTGAAAATGAGATCAAGCTGCTGAAGTCAAATGATCAGACCTCAGAGGTAAGTTGAACTTATTGACCCTTTCACGTTTACGGGAGCAGAAAAACACACGACTGATTGAAAGGCAAATTTGTATTTTTGATGTGACAGAGTTTGTAAATTTTATTTCCTTGATTTTAAAAAAACATAGAATTGGTTTAGTATGACCTCTATCTTTTTTTAAATTATAACAACTGACTGTAGAAGTTTAATCGTTAAATTCTATTGTAATTGTTGACACTTTTCACTAACATTGGTGACGAGTACATCAATTCTTTAGACAACATATCAGTCGAGGCGACCAGTGAGTAAAACTAAATAGTTAATTAAGTACCTTGTAGGCCGGATGAAATAATTTGAGTTAATGTAAGAAGACAAATGAGCATAATAAGATATAGAGGAAACTTTACAATGTGGGTTACATCCTTCAGAACTCATTGCTTGGTGTTTTTTGTTTGTTTATTTTGGAAGGTAGGCTGTGTCTCTACTGGTGTCGTGACTGTCTTTGTTTTCTTCCCATCTGTTCTCCCAGTAATTAGAACCGTGCTCATTTTATTTCTCTAGCTCACTCGTGGATCACTGAAGAGAATAAATCAATACCCTTTACTCATCCTTCACACAGCAGCCAGTTACCTAAAACCATGCCCATGTTATTTTTTTCTTCTTTATCCTTTCTTCCAGGAACTGACCCAGAGGTATGACGCACCCACCGGTCAAATGTTCTCTCTGCTGTTGTTTCGTAGTTTCTTTACGTCAGAGTTCTTTTTTTTTTTTTCCCTCCCTTTCCCTGGGCAGACAGCTTATCTGATGAAACATGGATGAAAACAGAACTTTGCATCTTCTCTCTAGTATCCCGACCCCAGCCACCTTTTGTTTCTTCTAATTCTGCCCACCAGAGAGCTAATTGAGTATGCTGTTATGGCTATTGCCTCATCACTGACCTAATTTCCTCCCTCCAATGTTCAGGTGTTAGAAAAGGACCTACGTTGCCACAGACTGGGGCTGCAGGTGAATGATCTCGAACAACACATCAAGCAGATGGTCAAGCTCATAGCACTGCAGGACCAGGAGAACAAGCGCATGCAGAAGTATGTTAACAATACCTAGAATTGGTTCTTATTGAATTAACTATTGCTCAGTGCAGCTGAAGAAACTGCACTTCACCTTCACTGTAACTCGTGATTTTTTTCTGGAAGAGATATCTCAATATTTTTCCATTGCATTTCAGAATGGTGAACGTCTTGTTGCCAGCGTATAGTCGAAAGTACTCTGCATTGCGTGGTGCCGGGCTGGTGACAGCGGCGGATGAGATGGAGAACCATGAACTAGAGCACCTTGTGTTGAGGGAGAGAGGCGTGGTCTGGGCAGACCAGGAAGGGGTAGGGCAGCAGCTGAAAGGTGAAGGGATTCAAGAGGAATCACGGGAGACAAATGAGGCAGGAAGCGCTGGGCTGCGCAGCGAGTTGGCGCCTGTCTTGTCATTCTCACATCTGCTATACCACCAGAGTAGCCCCTGCAGTAAGTCATATTATCATCCTATTTATTCTTCTGTAGTTGTTTATTTATCATTCACTGTGATAGTTTGGTGAATACTCTAAAAATGTGGTTGAGCAAATAATGGGTATTTTTATAAAAATCCCCTGTTTTGTCTGGCTAACCATCAAACACTCAATCGATTAATTGGCTTATTTTTTCAGCCTTAGATTTTAATGCCACCTAAACTGCCAGGAAAGATGTCAGTATGCTTTATAAATACGTGAAAACCTGACCACAAGGCCACAAAATGCTTGACCAACGAAAATATCAGATGGTTCACTAATGGGTGTTTATAATGAAGACATCGCCTTCAAGAAATACTGTTAAATGTTACAGAGTAACTAAGATGACACACCACAGTTCCTAAATAAATTAATTGAGAAAAATCAGACCAAAAAAAGGCAATAAGTCACACATGCATTCATCGTTTTCTGTTGGTTGAAAGAAATACAGAGACGCCGTAACTTTATGGGGAGGCAGGTCATCCCAGTAATTACATATAAGTAATTTGCCCCCCCCTCAATTAACTATCAAGTGCATGCGACAGTCTCACCCCTCCCCCTCCCAGAGTGTATGAAAGAAAGAGGCTTCGCAGTGAATGAATCTATGTCAAACCGGTAAGGGACTTAGTCAACCATTCATCTCTTTAACATGCAGCTGTTTAGCTGATAGTTAGCTAATGATTTTTAAAACTAGCCTAATAAGATTTATGAATATGTTTACTAGAAGTTGAATTCAGACATCAGGCAAAGATTACCTAACACAATATGACAGTAAACTGTACAGTGTTCTGACTTTACTGGTCAACCCTGTTAAGTTAAATGCAGCCACATGTAATGTGTATAAGGAAGGACATGTGAACCAAAGATGTATCTTGTTACATCACACAACTGATGTTTAACTCTCTTTAATGACTCTGTTACAAATATTAATGTGATTATTTTTTCTGATATCTAAGACTGTTATTTTGTTATTTCAACATTAGAAAAAAAATTGTGGGTTGTATTATGAAATAGGTGCACTCATGTTTGTAGTAGTTTTTCATTTTATAAATGACCGCCTGTACTGTTTAGATCATAATTACAACTAACATGCCCCTTTCACAATACACTGTTTTGGTCAGGATATTATGTTAACTGCCAAGAGGTTACATAGCTATTTAGTAGCTACATGGAGAGTGTTATACATATGACTAATATGCTATTAAGCACATGCTGCTTTGGTTAAAGATGGTAATTATATAGTCGTAGTGTCTTGAACACAAATTGAAAGGTGTGTGAGTGTGTAATTTTGCTATGATTTAGATTCGTTTTTTTATCCTTTTTTCATTAGATGGTTCTTTAACGTGGAAAGCCTAATGTGTAATATTAGAGACAAGCATCTACATGTGACACCTGGATGTACAATAGTGTTAAATATATGTCAGGTGTCCTGTAAGTAGGGATGGGAAGATGTACGGGATTATCATGCGTCACGATAAAAAACAACAATAATAAATAAATGTCAATCTGTGATGCAATAAATATGTGTTTCTTAACAAAATGTAGGGTAAAGTGATTCCAGTATATTTTAGTAGGAAGTATATTTTCATGATTATCGTGATGATGTCATGTAAATGCAATTATTTTTGCCAAGATAATCGTGACATGAAATCTTCATATCCTCCCATGTCTACCTGTAAGGTAGTTCAATAAGTGTATTTGGCATTACTCCAGGTCTAGTGTGTATTGTGGGACCCACAAGTTCATTTTTAACTGTCATCTCTGCATGACCTAGCAGCACCAGGCCCTCATGACATATAAGCCATGGTAGACAGTGGAGCATGAACCAAAGCTGGCGCCAACAATACTCAATTACTATGATGGTGTCTTATCATTTGTGAGACCGTAAACTCTGCACCTGTCCCTCTGTTCCACTGCTGGCTTCTTTTAATTTGTATTACATTTAGTAATTCTTCGGTAATACAAAGAATTTGATATCCCCGCAGACAGATATTAGTGTCAGGCTCCTGTGGGTCATAATTTAAAGTTTAAAAGATTATAAGATGTTTGTATTAAGGTTGTCTTGGTCTTTGAGCAGTTCATTATGAAACGTTACACTTCCAACTTCTTCTGACTTAATGTCTCTGCTGCATTGCACTGTGAATCATGCTTGGGCTTTTGAGTGAGATTACATTTTTTTTACAATATATATAATATTTATATATGGGCTGACTTTTTCTTAAGAAAAAGATAGGATAGAATCACAAAATGTTTAGCGGGTTGAATGTAAAGCTATTTTTTAGGTATTGGAAAATGTTTCACCACTGTCATTTTTTATTTTATGCCATGAAGCAATGTTTCATTAAAGTCTAAATACTTTTGACTTACTTTAAATCTCCAATTCAGTAAGTAAAAAGGACAGAATGTAAGCTAGCACTTTCCAAATAATTGGTGGTAATTCTTTTTTAAACACTTTTAATGAAGGAAAACCACAATAGGGTTACAGAAGCTTTTCAAGCTCTCTGCGTTATTGTAATTGTGATAATGTGTTGTTGATGATGTGTTGTTGATGTTGCTTCCCCTTGAATCTCTGTGATTTTTTAAAATTTTTTTGTCCTCAGGTGCGGAGGGGCGCACAAAAAGAGCATCATTGTGCAATGCTGCTCCATCACCAAACGGTAAATCTACTTTCCTCTCTCCCCCGTCTTGCTAACATACGGTAGTCATTAATCTAAAACCCCTGCGTACCTGTTAATCCCCCCTCCCCCCCCAATAATTCACTTATTTGCTCTCCTTGTCACCTTTCACTCAATCCATCACACTTGCCCAAACACAGTTTAGGAGATGATGCTATGTTTTATTGAAGCAGAAAACGCAGATCATAGGGTTGTGTTTTGTGCCATATAAATTTTCTGTTGTTTTTCGCTTTGCCATGTTGCTTTTTATTTGCTGAACATGTTTTTAGCAGTTTAACTGAGACGACTTGTTCAGAGTAGTAAAATACACAATAAAAGTCAGACATGTAATATAATGTGATTTATAGTTGTGCTGCAGACATTCTGCCCTGGCCAAAACTTGAATAATGAAATGATGTGAATACTCAAAACCAGTTTTATAGAGGGAAAACTGTACACAGGGAACCTTTAGGGAAATGTAACACAAAAACCTTTGTGAAATATTGCAGTTCAAATTGGCTGTAATGATATTTACTGCAGGTGGTCTACATTTCATTGAAAGAAATTGTGGGAAATGTAACTTTTGAAGAAAATACTCCTGCCAGATGACCAGAGTTCCTTGAATGGAAATGAAACATGAAAGCACCAGGGAGTTTGTCACCACTGCTATTAAATTTCACTATAACTTAATTTAATAAGTGAACTCCTTTCTTTCAGTGTTTAAAGTTTTCCCTATATGGCCTGTTTGTCCGACCCTTCTTTATACATTTCAAGCCAGTTCTTTTATTATTTTTCCCATTTGGTCATTTATTGTTATTTTCTCATTTCTCTTTTCTTCACTACGGTCATCTTTCCAGAAGATGGTGAGCTTTATTTATTTTAACAATGAAGTTAAATGGCTAAATTCGTTCAGTTTCATAGAGCATTTGCCACACCTATAGTAAAGCTTTGAGTGGGTTTGATATTTAAAAACACAATAAATACTTTTTAATTTACACTAATAGAATAATACTTGTATTAATTCCTGTGATCAGAGGCATAAAAACAATGCAGTAATCCACAACCTTCCTTAAACTAAAAATTCTAGATACATAAAGTAATTATTACAATGCACCTTCAACAATAGTGCACAGTACACTAGCTAAATGTGCTTTATTATAGCTACATGTGCCGGACAAAATGTTCAAATTATTTCAAAAACATCTAAATAAAATGCTGAATAATTGATTGTAGTTACAGCCTATCTTGAAGCAGCACCTTATGAAATGATACATTGTCCAGGCATTCATCCCATTTTAACCTTTAACATACATGCAAGCCTTATTACATGCTTAACAATAGCTTAATAGTGAATAACCATATAGTCAGTATCATTAAAATAACTCTCTTAGCGTCATTCTTTTCACATTATTGGGATCGTGTAGCCACAGTTTCATCTCTCTAATAAAATCATAACTCTGCATCCTCCTCAATTATGCATTCACTGGCTCACACTTGCATCCTTGAAAACCACCCTGTCCATTTTAATTTCAGTCTAGAGCTACCACTCATACATGCATGTAGTGTATATACACACAATGGGTAGAACTTGATACATGTTGTGCAGCATTATCAGCTGTGGTAAATGACTGGTCAGTTACTGACATATTCTGAATAATATAGACTTGAAATAGCATAGATGTTTTAATAAATAAAGCTTCTTTTTTTTATCATTCAGACAAACTGCTCTGATCTTATCCTGATGCTGTTTGTCTGTCTTTTACTGCTTCCTCAGCTGTTAATGGTAGTCACTGCAGCATGTTATGAGAAATAGCTCCACCCTGCAGCTTGCAAAGCCAATCAAATTTCACTGGTTTTAGAGAGGGTCGGGGTTTTGAAAGAGCATTAACTCTTTGTGGACTGCTAAATAATAGCGAATCATACAAAAGTGTCACTTTGAAGGAATATTTCTGCATTCCACAATGTAGTGTTGATTATACCATTTCCATACATGCATTTAGTAATATTTTTCATGTTTTTTTTTATTCAGCTAGCTCCCTGTGCCCCTTTTATCTTGTTATTTTTATATTCCCATTCGATCTTCTACCCTCACTTCTCTCTTATCTATTTTTTCCTCCCTGGATTTTGCTGTCCCTTTTGCATCAAACGTGTTTTAGTCTGGCTTTTTCCTCCATTCTGCCTCTCTTTCCCTCCTACCCTCAAATGTTTTTTCTCTGTCTGTCTAGCATCTAACCCTCCCAATCCCTCTTGAGCTTCATTCATGAAAATGCAGATCCACAGCAGGGCAGGAAAAAACGTCAACAGACGTAAACTCCCCTGCTCCACCAACCAGAAAAGGCGCACTATAAAAAACAGGCAGCAGCAACCAGGCGACCCTAATTCAGTGCAGCCTCCGCCAGAAATAGCAACTCATGCATGTATTAATCCCCTACAAGCCAAAAATATGTGATTGAAGGAACTCTGCTGCCATTTATTGCTAGGGACAACTCCTCTGCCACAGAAAGGGGCTATTTATCATCGTCTCCTCACTCGGTGTGCTGTCTGTAGTCTGACTCACATTTGCTAAATATTGCATTTTGATATTTAGGGTAATGTATAAATCAGTCATTCACCTTTGCATTTAGTGTTCTCACTTCCTTTATGTGCTGGCATGTTTCCTTTTTTAGCCCCCTCCTTCACCCTCACCACACCTCTACAGGAAATGCCATGAGTCTAATGGTGTTCATAATGGGATGCAGACACCGTGATTTAACTTCATTGTGCCCTGCAACCTGCAACTTTCTTGTTGCTGTCATTTTTAAATGGAGCAAGACAATGTGGCAAAAAACTACTGGATACAGTTTCCTGTATCAATCCATATTTAAATAAATTACAATGTATATTATTTGGTAATTATGTTTTTGTGTTTAAAATTGGTAATGCTGAAGGAACCAAGGGTTCATTGTCATTCTGGCTAAACATAATCTATTTTAATTTCAACATTGCACATATTTAACTTTGCAAACTCAGCTTTCTATTACAGCTTTCCTAAAAAAAAATGAACATCAATTCTGTTGGGAATCTGCTTTCTTGGATTAATTATTCGTAATTAATGCAGGTTCAACCAGTCCCTATGCTATTTAAAAACTGATTCTGAATACTGTTCACTGTCTGCTAGCGTTAGCTGTCTGTCAGTACCAGACTAACTACAGTATGCTTGGCTGAAAAATTACCTACACAGTTGGGTAACGCTAGATTGTTAATTCACCGACACTCTTCACTCTGTTGGAACAGCAAAAAGGGGCAATCCTCGCTAGCCTTTTACTTATAAAACAGTGCAGACAATCTTTTGCAGCTCATGCGGACACCAGTTTGCAATGCAGTCTCATCTTGTAGCTTAGCTAACTTATAAAATAAATATTGATACAGGTTTGAAAAATTTCAAAGATTGATAGTGCCCTTGATTTTATGTAGGACAATTGGGCGCTGAGAGATAAGAATGATGAAACATTTTATGTTTTATGGGGGTCATTTTCACAATAGCACACTCTGGCTCAAACTCAGAGGAGGGCAAACCTTTTTTTGTGTTCTCACAGTATCTCAATCACTGCCACAATCAAATATAATCCAACCTCAAAAGCTTCAAAACGTACTAGTTCCTGTTTAGCTATGTGTATAAGTAACCAGTTACATACTTTTACAAAGCAGTGCAAGAGAAAACTATTTGTTTAAAAAAAAAAAAGACAAACTATAACAAAAGAAAATGGCTATTGGAGACAATAAAGAGGCCGTTGCAGCTAGCTAACACCAGCACACGGACACTGCTTTAGGGCAAATTTATCGCCCCATGATTTTATTGTCCCCTTGTAGTCACTGGAATGGTACATTCTAATGTTATGGGAGCAACAAACTAAGTACCCTATGATATATTAACATAATTTTTTTTATTTGTTGGGCTTTTTTTCCCCTTCTTCCTCCTTTTTTTTTTTTTTTTTTTTTAAACAAGTAATACCTGCAGCAGCACCTACGTTTTCTCCTTTCAAACGCAGAGTTCACAGAGTTGTCTGTTTGAGCACCATGTTTTTCTCAGTTAACAAAAAAAACAAAAAACGTTCCAAGGCTGTTGGCAGATAACATCCTCGAGTTCTGGTCTATTTATAAAACAAAACAGTGCTTTTTAGGGTAATATTGCATGTCACAGCTCCAATCCGATATTGTAAAGCTTATATGTGCAAGAAGGGCACTATAATGTGTAATTGCCTTGTGCCATGCATAATATCTCCAACACTACTGATCACACTTTTATGTAACTTAAGGGAACGATCCATCTCATTTCTCTGTTGTGACATTTTTTAAATTGCACTGTTTAGCCTAAGGCAGGCACTTCAGCACTTATTACTGATCACTGATTGAGTATGGGGGACGGCATAATTTGGGGGGAGGGTGTTTACCATTGCCATGCTTTCTTTTCAAAGTGGTCTGATTTGCTTTCACTTTGAAAGCCCTTAGTTGTAAACAATGCATTGCTGAATGTATTTCAAAGATGGATTGTTACACATGATGGAATCTGCAAAGGCTTAATATTATGTAACATTATGACTTGTTCTTAATTGTTTCTCAAGGACCAAATGTGAGGATAAAAAAGGCTTGCATATAGTCTGACAACTAAGGAAAAGATCTGTTGACAAAGTGGTAAACAAACATAGTGACTGTTAAAGGTACATTCAGTTTTTAAGTGTCTATCAAGACAGTGCAGGTAGAACAACCTTTGCATGGGTTTCCGCATGTGGCCTGTCTGTCCTGCGGACTTCATGATGGTTGGCACTGCAAAAATGTTCTGTCCTAAAGATAACAGTATCCATTTGAACTGATATATCAGTTGCAGAGATTGTTCTTTCTATTAGCAAACATTTTAGTCACAAAGTAACATGGTGGCATTGCTGCCATACCACATCCTTTGTCATGCGATATTTTGACCAGTAACATTCAGACCCATAAACACTGGATACACAACTTACTTTGCAGACAGAGGTAGTATTTTATGATTATTAAGAATTTCACAAAAAAATTAAATATTCATGACTGAATATACAATATTTGGAAAGCTTCCTTGAGTATTTTTCATTGAGAGTTTTAATAGTCAAAAACTTGAAAATATTGTTGATTGACAATTCTAGTTAGGCAACTAAAGATTATCCTAGTTGAGTAGCAGTTGTTAAAGCCAATACTCGACGAATCGTTGGACGTTTATGATATTAATTTATTAATTATTTAAATATATATATTTAAGCGTCCGCCTGTTAAACAATAATGGAAAAGCGGTTATGAACCTGAATGTGTCAGAACAACCATCAAGGAGAAACATTTAATTTATTTCAACACAGTATAACATCACGGACAATGTATAACAACGTTAACAGACACAAATTAACTCGTTATGAACTTGTTTACTTCTTATTTCTCCAGTAATGCATTTCGTCTTCTCCCTCCTCCACCTGAAAGCGCTGTGTGTCTAGTCCTCGGATGGTGTTTGAGGCTGTGTTCAGTCCCACACTGCACTTAGTCATTTAGCTTGAATTCATTTTCTTGCTGCTTTGTTTGTTTAATTTCTATTAATTGATCGTTATCGTTTGGTTTTTTTAGGCTGTGCAAATCAGACGGATATGAAACAGGAACCACGTCCCAGAATGCCCATCAGGAGAAATCTGTGTGCGTCACTCCCACCGCAAAGCCCCCAGGCCATCGTCAAAGCCCAAGTCTTTGAGGAGGGCATGTTCCCACTTCAGTGCACACCAGAACCTGCTCAAAAAACTCTTCAAGCCCTGCGACTGGGCTCCTCCAGCCCCATTGATCCCAACATGACCTTTGAAGTTCTGGAAAATGATGGTCAAACTGCAAGTAATGCAACCATCATAATAGGCAGCGGTAGTCCTTGTCAAGCATCAAAGTCCACTGACTTCTCAGGTCCCAGTCAACTATTCCATCCTCCCAAGGCCAATGAGGGGGCCCAAATTCCTACCAAAAGGTGAGAAAATATTCATGATTTTAAGTTGTTTAGCAGTTTATATAATTATTTAGAGGTTAATTGTAAGACTCAGTTTGTTTTAGCCATTCTTTATAATTCCATCATGACTTTTTGTCCATCCATTGTACACACTTCACAGTGTTTCAGAAGATATTTTCTCTCTTCTAAAACATTACAAGTCAGTTTTCAGGCTGGCTTGTAATGTGGATTACAGTTCTCTTGACTCCACACATACAGTATATTGGTTCTCTTGGCAGTCCATATGGTGCAGCCTTTTTAACACGTTGAAGTAGTCGTAAACAAATGCATCGATACACCCACATACTGCCTACTGCACTCCTGTGGTCACTCCAAAATGTTACTGCTACAGTAGTGTCACATAAGCATGAAATATTGTAAGAAATACTATAGAAAACACTCCTCTTCACGGGAGATGTGTGAAACACCAAAGAAAAAACTTCTGCCACAGCAGAAACCAAAACTGATATAATATAATCTAATTGTAGACATTTTTATAAATCAAATTCAGAAGGGAAAAACTGCAACAGCTGACACAATGTATCAGAGCCATTTGTCGTACTTTCTTGCCTCCTGTTCCACCAAACAATGTATCTCAACAAGTGCTTTCAGCAATGTGGAGTTAGCCTGGGAGTGTTTTATCCTTTTCTCTGGCCTGCACACACAATCACTCGGATGTCTCATGTATCACGTAAGATTGATTGTTATCTTATGTTGTTGATGTCTTGACAATCTAGCAATTGTCCAATCAGTGGCCAAGACCCTTGTGTAAGAGACACAAGTTAAGCTGGGTGGAGAAAAAAAAGTAGTATAGATGTTCACAAAATCCCTTCAAAAACACTTTTTATTTCATCACTTGTCGTGTGCTTTCAGTTGGCAGACTTATACTTCAACATGTCGCTGTGTAAACTGATTCCCTCCAACTGTCAGAACACGTAATGACAGAAATCAGAATTTACTCCTTCACCATGTGTCTTTGAATTTACTGTTTTGAGGCATTTAATAAGCATAGCAAACACAAATGAACAAATGTCATTAACTCTCTTAATTGAAATTAAAACATCAGGGACATCCCCACTTATTTTTCTTGATGTTTCTTAAGAAAAATTGGTACCGAGGGAAAAACACTCCTTATGTCACCCATGCCTTAAAATGCCTAACTCTCTTACACACGCACAGTGATTCAACGTTTGTTGGGTTCAGTATACAACCCGGACAGTTCACACAGTACACAGAAAATTTTAAGAATTACATTAGGATACATATTCTATTTACTTAATTCAAAAACATCTATTGCATTTTTTAAAATTGACTGAAACTAACTCGGACATCTCCCGAATCAGTTCCATAAAATGTTTAAAAAAAATCTTAAAACACATCGCTCTGACTTTCCACTGAAAGTTTCAAAGCAATTGAACAATTCTGTGTAAAAGACACTCAGTCTGGATGGTAACTAAACCATTCAGAAGTGGTAAATCCCCCGAACCTTATTCAAAACAAGACAGAGACTAGAGTGCAAATAGTATAAGTATTCTCACCAGCAGCAAGTTTCCAGACTGTAACATTGGGCCAAGAGGCTTAAGTCAGCTGAGCTGAGCAACGTCATGGTGTCTTCAGCTGGAAGTGGCAAACAAAACAGGAAACATGTTGAGCTATAGCAGCAAAAAGGGTTTGTGTTAGTGAATGGTGCTCCCAGCAGATGAGTCTTCATCATAACACTTTGAGTGTGTATCATTTTATTGTTAGGTAAATTTGTTCTTAACCAACCTCAAAATCAAAAAGCATCGCCTCAATTAGCAAAATTGCAACACAAACAAATCAAATTGCTTAAAAACATCCGTCTGACCCCACAAGCATACCTTTTTGTCTTTCCTCAAATACTAAAGATCGGGGCTAATCCAGACTTTGAGACTTACCACCTGGTCAAATCTCAAAGGAAAACTGTTGCTTTAAGATAGCAAGAAAAAGCATTACCTTTTTAGTAATACTTTTTCTTGCAAGACCATTAGGTTTACTCTCGCAACTGTAGAAAAGTAGTAAGTGAGTTGGGCGGAGTTCTTGTAAAGTTTAGCACACAAGGACCCTAGAGGGAAGAAAAAGTTGACCGATTATCGGCCTGGCCAATGACATATTCCAATATTCAGCATTTTTCCAATTATCGGTATTGTTTGTTCTTTTTATCCAATTGCTGATAGAATCAATTCATTTAAAAATGCGCTACTTGGGGAATCATGAGAACGTTTCAGAGCTCACTCTGCCTCTCTGTAGTCTCGCTCAATGTCCCACCCACGGCATCGGATTGGTTACACATCTACTAGTTACAAGTAATGACCTATCAATGCTGAAGGTTGCTGCGCCACAGGGAAATGGAAATACTTAAGTACCAATGCCTCAAAATTAGGGATGAGGATCGATTGTTCTATAAGGACCCGGTTCCAAATTTCTCAAACCCGAAAATCAAAAAGGTCTGAGCATATCGATTTTGACTGACTAGCGGTTCCTGTTAAATAAACTCTGTACAGTGTGTCTGTTGTAAAACCGAACTAGCCTAGCACAATAGCAAGACGTTAATGCTTCACTGTAAAAAGCTACTTAGCTAGCAGCTACAAGTCATTGTTCATCAGTGGATAAAATCGTAAGTGAAAACGCAATCAATTGACCAACAGACAGCAATGTTTTACCTCTAATTTAGACTATTTTAATTAAACTCATTTGTATCTGCTGGGTAGCTAATTAGCTGTCCACAGTCTGGACCAACTCAGCTGTGAACAGCACAAGAAGACACAGATAGCTTCAGCCCTAGTCTCAAGAGACTTATGTCATTTAATCAATCAAATCCCAGATGCACATACATATATTGATTGTTTTTTTAATTCAATTGAATAGCTTGACAACTGCAATTAAGGAATAAAAGCAATACCAGTTCTGTTAAGAATACATTGTCGTCTTGTCTAGTGGTATCGATGAAGATCGTTAAGCAATCTCAAATTGTATCAATATCAGTAAAAATGAATCATCCCCATCCCTACTCTAAATTATACTTAAGTACAGTACTTGAGTAAATGTTCTTAGTTAAAATTTAGAATAAAGTGTTGGGAGTGTAACTAAAATTGTTATGTACATCGGTTCCAAATATCTGTTTCCTTGATTACTAATAATTGGTATCGTCCCTGCTAAAAAAAACATATCAGGCAATCCCTAGACTTGGACAGTTTGATTGTTTTTTTTTAACTGATTTCAGCAGGTTGATTTTCTGCTTTGAGATGCCTCCGACCGCTCATAGGACTCACTAAGGTCAAATGGTCATACATGGTCTCCAGATTATTGGTGCAATGACAGAGATTGAGTTTACTGGTTAGATCTGAATCCTTGCCTGATATTGAACCAGTACAATTTGAAACTTACGGACAAGATTAAATCTTAAATCAGCATGATGTGATATTTTCAGTGTGCATCAGAAAATGTTTTAATAACATGCAACTCTATGTAGAAAAACTAAAGGCAGGAACACCCCTTAAAAATGGATTTACTCACTTTATACCTGTAGGTGCCATGGTAAAAAAAAATAAAAAATAAAAAATAAATGCTGCTTCAAAGTCATCTGAACAACAACCAAATTTGCATAACCAAATTTCTGAATGCAGGTGCAAACAAAGCATCAGATATCAAAAGGTCAGATTTGTATACACATCTTTTGGAATACAACACAAAATGATCAGTTATAAGCTATTTTATTTTTTTAGTCATCTGATTTTGAATACAAAGGGAAATGTTGCTTATTCCCATGTGAAGTCCAAACAGCGGAGATTTCATGATAACGTAAACCTTTATTCTGTAGACAACAGATTCCGTCTTTACAAGACGTGAGACGAGCCCATCCGACTTACATGGACATGACGTCTGCTGCACAAGGAAAACGTAAATTTAACCGGTAATGTGCCAAAAACATTTTACAGACTAAAGCTTTGCACAACATTAATAACCAGTTGTGAGTGTTAATCCTTTGATACTGTGCTTAATTACTTTTTCTGTTTTATCCATCCATTGCATTGACTGTAGCAGCATCCGAGAAGAGTTAACACAGGATCTCTCTGCACCAAAACGTATAAAGAAAGACCCCTCGGTGTCACGGAGACCGCTCAGAGTGCATCGTTTTGCTGGTAAGTTTCAGAAACACAGACATGGAAGACAAAATACATATAGAGTATAATGTCAAAGTTCCAAAGGTTGTAATTGTAATCATGAGATCCACATGCATTGATTCAGAGTTATTGGGAATGAAGAAGTTTACTCGTGTTCATTGTTGATACTATTGATTGGTGTCCGTCCACAGGTTCAGAGGAGAATAAGCCTCGAAGAGTTGTGAGGAGCATTTCTGAAGGAAACCTCAGCCTGCTTGAACCTCAGAAATCCAAATCCATTTTCTATAAAACATCCCAACAGTTAAAACGAGTGGCCAAACGAATGTAAAGCAAAAATCGGACCATTTCGCCCTTATGAACATTTACACTCCCCTTTCCATCCGTATTCATCTTTTCAAAATATTTTCTCAAACCCTAAAACAAAAACAGTGGTCCATTGTGTAGTTTTTCCAACACAAATGCTAAAGTAATGAGATGAAATGTAATATAATTACATTATTTAGTTTTGCTCTTTGATTAAGCCTTACACTGCAGTGAAATTGTACTTACACATTGTATATAAACATTGTAAAGTTATTGGTCATCAGTTTAGATTCTTGTGATTGTTTAAGAGCCAATTTCTGGCATTTCTAATCCTTCCTTTAGATTTGACGATATTTTAAAGCTCATGTACACACTAACACCAAGAAATAAAACACGTCCTGTCCCCTGTGTTTTACGTACGTTATGTACTTTGAACTATTCTATTAACCAATGATCAGTCTGGTCGGTGAACAGTCCTAGGGCAGCTAATCTCAGAGGTAGACTACCTGAAATGGAAGTACGGCACAAAAAACATCGTGCTTTTATTTTATTATTTTAATTTTTATTCTCATTTCTCTTGTACAGTTAATAACATAGGGGTTGTAGATATTTCATAATAAAACTGCTTTTTCCATTGGTTTTATTGATAAATAAATGTCTTTCCAAAATGTAATAACTGCTTTTTTTGTGCTATTGATTTTGAGTCTGAATGTGGTTTTCAATGAAGTGTGGGATACAAAATGTTCAGAAAATAAATGAGTGACACAGTACAGGCTCAGGGAAGTTGATCTGACCTGGCAGAGACTCAGCAAAACTCGAAAAGATAACTTTCTTTCTTTATATTGAAAAAGCAACCGTTTCATATGCCTTTAGGAAAAAAAGATGAACTCCAAATGTGATCGATAGGACGCCATTTGTCTCTACCAATGCCTCGTGGGGTATATTTCACCATTTTATAGAATGCTGACAGAAAGAGGTGTTGCTTTAGTTAAGATTAAACAGGGATATAGAAAATTATTGTCAAATATGTATATGCATATTTATGCAAAGGAGGGAAATTAATTCACAAATCAAATTACAATTTGGTGTGAGGCTGGCTGTTTTGTAGTATTTACTATAACAAGCAAGATGCCACCTACGATAGGTGGTATCTTGATGGTACGCCCACCAACCTGAGTCAGTTGTAACACGCAACACCATAAAAGGAGATAAAATCCCGATAGCGAGCTAACAGGGAACTCAAAACAGTTAAAAGTAATGGATCAAAAAGATAAAAAGAAATTAATAAATGGTTTAAATAGCAAAAAGTAATGGACACTTAAATGTAATGGATAAATTATTTAAATGAATAGCTGAAAGAGATGAACAGTGGAATTAGCAAGTAATGGATGAACACTTGAAACAGTTGAAACACTGAAAGGGCACTCGGAGAGCGCAGACTGCCAGGGCGTTTGAGGTGGCTGTTTTGTATGTTTAGGCACACCATTCACTTTAATTATGGGTTTGGGCATACGCAATGAATTCAGTCCATTTTAAAATGGACACCAGTGTTACAACCTAGAGACCGATCTCACAATGTTAATGAAAGTGAAAAACTTCTTAGTGCATCTGCTGACATCCTGCTGACCGACTGACAAACGGCACCGAAAACATGACCTCCTTGCTGGAGGTAATAATGGAAAACATATTGCATACAAACCTGACCAAAGCAACCATAACACTGACAAATAGATTGTAAGAAATAAAACGTATGGTAACAATATCCACTTTTTCTATAATAAACAGTGTTAAATATCACGATCCGTTCATAAAGAACACGACTGCTGTGGAAGAAGGGGCACTTGAGCTCATCTGATAGGGCTGAGGGGATACGTTTGGGAACCACTGCTAAATACGACTTTTGAATTGTATTTCAAAGATATTTTAGGCTTTCCTGTGTTGCATTTTTATCCTGATCAAATGTGAAGTTTTGTTTGGAAGAAGCTTTTATTAGAATTCTTTACTAAAAACGAATGTCAAAAAATACCTCCTGGATCTGTGACGAGGGTGGGACCTCATTGCTCTGTCGGGAGAGAACTAGACTTGTCACTTTGAATTCAGTCTTGCAACTTTCAGTGGCACAGCATTCAGTGTGATCTTTATTTTTAGCTCAGGAGCTCAATGCATATATCAGCACTGTACTGCGCAAGCACTGACACCCTCTCATGCTCTCATTCACAAGAATCTCTTCATTGTGTGTGTGTGTGTGT